CAGTAATCAGTAGCTAGTAGAGAGTTTGACGTGTGCGTAAAAGGTAATATTGTGATGTTTAAGCTAAGGATCGGTAAGTGTGTGTTAAATGTGTGGTCAGTGTACAATTGGGATATTTTAGGGGAGGTATTAGAGTTTATAAATAGATATAATTTTAATGAAAACTAAAAGATAATAATTGGAGGGGATTTTAATATAAGAGGGGATAAGCTAGGTGGTTTTGTAAACTTGGATAAGAGGTGTTTAGTTGAAAGAGAAAGTAAAGATGTAATAGTAAGTAATGAAGGTAATCAGTTGATGGAGATGCTAGAAAATAATGGCCTAGTATTGTTAAATGGCTGGTGTAAAGGGGACGAGGAGGGAGAATTTACTTTTGTGGGGGTAAGAGGGAGATCGGTGATTGATTATGTGTTAGCGATGCGACGTTGGGTTGGGTTCAAAGTTTTAGGTACGTAGGGCAGACTCGGACCATATGCCCCTGTGTTTAACCTTGGAGGTACTGGACGGTTTGGTGGTGCCGGCCAAGAGCAAGGTTGGTGAGCCAGTAAAAAAATGTGTGGATAAATGAGGTGTGGAGGATGCGGCAAGTTTTAGGCAGGAAGCAGAGAGGCTGTGCATAGAAAACTGTGAGGTAGCGGAGGAGTCAGTGGACACGGTGTGGTCAATGTTAAAAGAAGTGGTAAATAAAGCGGCGGTGAGAAAAGAAATTGTAGTGAGAAAGTGGAAATTAGGGGAAAGAAAGTGGTGGGACAAGGAGTGTGGGGCTAAGAAGAGGAAGGTGATGAACGCCTATCAAGAGTGGAGAACGGGAGAAGAGGATAGAGATAGCTATTTGTGCGAAAGAAGAGAATGGAGGAAACTTTGTAGGGAGAAGGAAGATGATTTTAAAAGAATGGAAAAGGAAAGGTTAAGAAGCATTAAGAATGAGAGTGGGGTGTGGAAGTTTCTTGGAGTAAACAGGAAGGGTATTACAGCAGATGAAAGTAATATTCCGTTAAGAGAATGGAAGGAATATTTCAGGCTACTGATTGATGGCAGTTGTTTAAGAGTTATAGGTGAGAGAGGAGTGTGGCTGGAGAGGGAAGAGGAGCTGCGTGAATGGGATGCTACAGAAGTGGAATTGGCTGTCAGGTCGCTTAGGAAGAAGAAAGCGCCGGGTGTGGATGGGATACCCAATGAAGTGTGGAAGTACTGTGGCCAAGAGCTGTTGGATAGACTGATAGATTTATTTGAGAAAGTGTGGTGTGGTGAAGGAATGCCGGATTGGAGATTGGCTATTGTCATGCCGCTGTTTGAGAAAGGAGATGCTGATTGTGTAAAGAACTTTAAAGGTATCTCTTTGCTTCCAAGAGCATATAAGCTACATACGGAGGTTTTGAAGACGAGATTGGTGCGGGAAGTAGAGGAATGAGGCTTATTGCGGGATGGACAGGCTGGTATAAAGGAGGATCGTTCAACTATAGACAATGTATATATTCTCAACCACTTAGTCCACGTGGCTAGAGTAAAAAAGACTAAGGTATATTCATGCTTTGTTGATCTCACGGCGGCTTTCGACACAGTCAACAGAGGCAAATTGTGGAAGGTAATGGTGGATAAAGGTGTTAGTGCGTTTCTGGTCAAGAGAATTATGGACTTGAACGAAGAAACGGTGGTGAAGGTGAGAGTGAATAAAAATCTGTCAAGTTTTGGAGTACGAAGGGTCTGCAGCAGGGGTGTGTGTTGAGTCCAGTGCTGTTCTGCATATATTTAGCAGCGGTGGAAAGGGAGTTCAGTGATAAAAATATAGAAGGAGTTTTAGTGGGGGGAGTTAGAATATGGTCGTTGGCATACACGGATGATCTGTTTTTGGTAGCTCTAAACAGGAAAAGGCGCTACTAGATATGTTAGGACTGTTGGGAAAATTTTTGAAAAATAGGGATTTAATTTTAAGTACGGCTAAAACGGAAGTTATGGTGTTTAATAAAGGAAGGGGGGGTGCTAAAGAAAAGTGGATGTTTGGTGTGGAGGAGGTGGATAATTTAAACTATTTGGAGTTCAAGTTTGATAAAGAGGCTAACTACAAGGATTATCTGAGGATATTGAAGGCTAAAGGGGTGATTGCCGCTAAGAGAGTGTGGGGGCTTGGGGAAAGAAAATGTAAAAATGATTTTAAGAGAAGGAGGATGCTGTGTAATTATCTAGTGAGAAGTGTTATGTCTTATGGGGCGGAGATTTGGGGCTGGGAGGAAAGGAAAGAATTATAAAAGGTTCAGTTAGACTACTATAGGTGGGTTTTGGGTTTGGAGTTTTGTACATCGAGATACATTGTTCGATGCGAGACGCAAGTCGTTAAATTATGTAATGTATGGCGAGTGCGGGCGTTAAAGTATGAGAAAGGATTGAGTGTACTAGACGATAACAGATTGGTAAAAAAGTGCTGGAAAGAAAAAGAATTGTTTAGGAACATAGATCTGTACAGTGTAGAGAGGGAAGCGTTTTTTAACTCGATAGGTTTAAGTGCTTTGGCGGTAAATGTGGATATGTGCAGGAATGAGGATGTAATATGAAGCTGAAACTAGCAGACAAATTTCAGCAGTGATAACGTCGAATAACAACTTATACCTTGAGTGTCATTAAAACTGAGACAGGATCTCTTTTATTTTACTGAATTAGAAAGGTACCTGGTTTTCTTTTAAGGGTACCCCAAGTAGAATTTGTTATTTGACGATATCGCTGCTGGAATTTGTCTGCTAGTTTCAGCTTCATGGATGTAATCGGGGAAGTCGAGCACAGAATGAACGATCTTGATAACCAGGGATTGCTAAGTACCCTAAGGGAGGCTAGGTATAATAAAAAGTACAACCGCGTTAAAACAAGTAAATTTCCGAGATTTCTTGAGAGGTATAGTAAGAGTAGCGACATACGTAAGATTGCAAGGGTCAGATGTGGAAATAAGTAATGGTTAGCAGCGGAAAAGAGATTGTGTATATTATGCGGTAAGGAAGCGGGTACGATTGAGCATGTAATTAATAAATGTGAGGTATGTATTGAGTGGCAGGAAAATAAAGATGAATACAAAAATCTGTTAAATAAGAACTTTAGAAGTGATCTGGGTATAACGGAGGTAGTCAAGCTATTAAAAAATATGAGGCAGAGTGTAAAAAGAAGTCTGCGAACGAATGGCAAATCAGCGTTTACAATTAATTCTTTGTGATATTCTGTATTTGTTGTATTTATAATATATTATAAGTGGAAGTATGGTATGAGTCATTTTTGAGTATGGCAGAGCGGGGTATTGTATGGTGGTAATGTTATATTGGGTGTGTGTGGAAGGAGTGTAGTATGGTATGAGTCCAGTCGGATAAGTGAAGTAAAATGTAAACCAAGTCTTTTTCTAGGCCAATAGGCTGAAAATAAAGATATATATCATTGAAAGTACTATTTTTCATACGTCAAAAATATTTTGAATCAAGTGTTACATTGCTGTTGCTACATAGGGCTCGTAGTAGATACTGGGAAACTGAGAAATTCCATGATGAAATTGAAATATTCATAGTAGAAGTAAATAAATAAAACTTATATGTTTATAATCATATTTTTTTATTTGAAAAAACAATGGAATAATTTGGAATGATGCATATGTTACAATTGAATGCTTTGTGGATCTTTTGAATATTTATAGTTCCATTAATCTTCATCACTATCTTCATATATAACGGGATCAATGTCTGATGCAGCAAACATATCACAAAGACATATTGCTGGTCTAATAATTTTTTTATTTATATTGAGTATTACTAAGGTAATAAATAACTGCTGCAGTATGTGAGCAGTAACCCATGGTTCGTAATCCATTTGAATAGTCACACGTATGTCGCAAAATGCCACTATATTCTATGGAATTTGGTTTGTACTCAACTTATTATTTATAGGTCTTACTATTTATGTGTATCGACTTTATTAAAACTTTAATAATATTTGGTTTCATTTTGATATACTCCAAATCAATATTTCCATTATCATTGATTAGTTTAGCAAGGTAACAGACAGCTTGTTCGAATGGATAGAAACCTGTAAAAAATGTCTTCAAATCCCTTTCAGTTATTTCAGAAAAATCAGTGATTTCTTGGGCTGTCAATTTGGTTGAAGTAGTAGGTTGTCTAGACCATCTAGCTGTCTCAGCTTTGACAGCCAAAGAATTTTTCATCAATTTGGAGTTAATCATTCTATCGATAATTATATCTTGCATTCCATCTTTATCTGCATCGCTGTTAAAGCGCTTTCCAAAAAGGTTATTTAGACAGCATGCTATTCTACAATGGGCACCAGCTTTCGGTAAAATTTTGTTGTCCAACTGCTGATGGAGAAGCTTATATTTTTTTCCAAGGATGCCACGAACTGCCTCTACTACAAATCTCAATTTGTTAATGTAACGAGACTCGTTCGATTCACTTGTTGTTAGGTTAGACCATTTACCTTTTAATGCAGGCATAAGAATCTTAAAACCGAGATTTGCTAAATCATTTTCGGTTACCAAAAATTGATCATGAACATCCACTACAAATCCATAAGTTGTACAAATAGAAAAAAGATTTAATTAAAGGGCATTTTTTTGGCCAGAGTATGACTTTTATTGATAGTCATTACTTTTTTAGTGACGTAAATCAGTTCTGTCGGAAACCAGAACAAGCTCATTGTTTAATTTGAAAAGATTTTAGTCAAATTATAGTATTTTTTACAAATACAACAAGCATTATGAGAGATGAAAGTTCTTTTCAGAGGTGATTCCACAGTCAGTTCCTTTTCTTCACTCTGTTTTCATACTACCTCAAAGACACTTCCTGAACTTGGTGAGCTAAGTGTTTGCGAGCTTGATGGAGAATTTGTTGATTGGCCTTGATTATAAGTTGAACGTTTTACATTCTTAATAGGTTTTTTTCAGCCAAAAAAACTTTTTTTCTGCATTTGTCACAAAGTTTAAAACCAATATTAACATTTTGTATATTAAACTGCTCACGAATAAATTTAACTTCATTATCTGACTTTCATATTTTTATCCGGGCCGATATTCTACTAAGATTTTTCTTTTAACAGCTGCAACATTGATCAGTTGCATCAAAAGTATCCATACCTTTCAAAGAAACTGAAATTAAAAATAGCTGAGGTATAATTAACTATAATTTTTCATTAATTGAGTGATTGATACTATATAATGATATTTTTTTATCAATAAATAATTTTAATCAACTATTATAACTTTTTGTTAATTAAATAAGTTAATATTTGTTCAACTTTTGAATATATTACATGTAAATAGCTGATACAATTCTAATGATATTGATATGTATTTAATATGTGTTTTAAATATACATTATAGATTTAACTTTTTATATAATTACTAATTTTTAGCCATGCGTAATTGTGTACTGATAAATAATAGTTTAAAAATATGTTCACAATAAAAAATCAACAAAAGTCCTTATAAACTTTTAATCGTTGATTTTTTTAGAGTTCTGACTTTTAAAAAAGTAATAGTTAATTTATCGTAGTATACTTTAACTGAATAAAAAAAAGGTATTTTACAAGCATTTCTTTTTTTAAAAGGTTAATATGCCTTTAACTAATAAGAACTAATAACCCTAATGCGGGGGAAGACTGTTTTATCTATTTTTATGAGGTGTCTATTTGTACCGAATCCACGTAAAGAAGTGGATAATATAATACCGTACGTAATACTTACACTGTACACAACCATATCAAAGTGTTTTTTGTTTCAAATATTATCCATTCTGTATTCCATATTTACTAACTCATACAAACCAAAATTATGTTGTACAGGAAACACGATACGTGTATGGCAGACAGTGTAAATGTCTTTTAATTTTTTATCATAAGAATTAATTTTTTTTTTTACTTTTAACCTTTTTAAGATATATGTACTTTTTATTAAAATCAATAAATAATATGGTATAGTTAAACTTTATAATTTCTTTAATTACTCTCTCTTATCGTGGTTGCTGGGTAAAATGGCTTGTCTATGCACATTTGCACATGTATCATCAGCATACGACCTTTAATTTATTTAGTTTTTTTCAAATTTAAACTATGCGGCTTGTATGCACATGTGCCCGAAATTAGAAAAGGGCTTATCAGCTACCGGTATGTATAGTTAAGTAGATATATGTATGTAGATTGGTTGGATCGACCTCCGTACAAGTCCGGGCACATGTGAGTGCATATAAAATATGAATCAGCACACAAACAGAAAGGCAAAATAATATTTTTGTTTCGGTAAATGTTTTTACTTCCCATATAAGTATTTTGAAGTTCCCTGCAATACATCAGTACAATGTCAACCATGACTTCTGCATATTTACTTTTTTAAACTTACATTATAAAAAGTAGAATTAAACATAACAATAATTATTAATTTGCGTAAAATTAATAGTTTGAATAAATACGGTTAATTTGGACAGAAGATATACTTACACTCAAGTAGAAATAAAACTTTAAAATACAAGTTTTCAATTTATTTCCAGTCATAGACTCATGATCAAGAACAAGTGCAAAATGAGCTCTTTGTGGCGAGAGTGGTAGAGCGCTTGCTTTCTATTTAGAGGGCTTGGGTTCCAGACCCAAATTTGTTCACTCTTCAAGGGTACTTCTGTGGTATTTTCTATACGTTCTAATCTCTGCGATAGCTCATGAGCATGCCTGTCGACTCCTGATAGATCCAGTGTCGGTTTCTCCCAGTGATGTCTTGGACCAGGGGAGCAAACCCTCCCAGGGTTGGTCAGCGCTCCTATTTGGCTCAACCAGTGAGTTCTCGCAGGGCAGTTATCAAAATCCGAGCGAGAGAAAAACGAACGAACAAAGTTTTATCGGGACCAATGAGTTTAGATCAGTGCCGTGATAAGGTTAAAACCAACACAAGATCCTTGCTGCTCATAGGTCGCGATGAACGCATCGTTCGTTTACTCTTTCGTTCGTTCTCTTGATCAGACTCAATAGCCTCCGTGGCAGCAGCTATAAGCCAATTCCCTGTTGGGGAACAGGGAAGTCAGCAGCTTATTGTTGGGCCGGTAAGTTCGTGGGTAGCCATTTAAGAGGGGCCAACTTCCAGAGGTCAGCGGCTACGGTGAGATATTCTCCTCTTTTTCTCTCACTTTATCTATCTCTATCACATCTCGTCAACCTGAGGTTGTCTTGACATCTGATATTCCATGCTTCGCAACTATGCGCGAGTACTGCTCAAATTCTCCCTTGGTCTACAGATCAGAAACCATCTTTCACCACCTCTCTATTCGTCTGTTCCTCTGTCTCTATGTCTTCTTTCCTACTCCTGGGCACATAACCTTCCCGGTTGGTCCTCCTAGGGAGAAGGTTTTAGTTGGTAGGCGTCTGGGTACGTAATTAAATACGTTTAGGCAAATCCGACATTACCTCTGGGATTGGCATTTGTCAATACAGAGGTGTCTTAAAAAGATTTTTTTGTCCCCGCTAACGAAATAGAAAGAAAAAAAAAAAAAAAAAATTAATTAAAAAAATTAGTGCAAGATAGACATCCGTAGATGGAAAGACAAGCTTGGGCAAGTATTCTTGGTCGGAACAACGAGCTCACGCTATGAGGTGGATCTAGCATCGACCTCGATCTGCCACGCATCACGCGGGAGATCGCAATTCGATTCCTGACGAGTGCGACTTTTTCGAGCAAGCACCTGTGTGAGTTTTTATATGTGCTTTATCACTGCAATACTCCTCGTGAAGGGGATGGGTGACCTTTACGCAAAAAATTGCCTTAATGTGTTTGTGCAAAAAGTGACTTTGTAAAAATCTTACTAATCTATAGGTATATGGGTTTGAATACCTAGAAACAGAGTCTTCAATATGTACGTCAAATACATATTACGTGCTCTATATATAGGAAAGAAAAGTATGTACTGTGTCATATCTATGTAATTGCGACTTGTATTACAATATGATACATGTATACCTTCGGCTACATACATTTGTATACAAGTAAGCCAGGAAATGAATCAAATTTTTGAAAAACCGCCACGCATTTAACGTAACGCGCAGGCCATGGTGTAAATGTGTGGAGGGAAATCGGGGCTCAAATATTTATTCTATGGATATTTACTCATGAAATACTCAACTTTCACAGTATCTACTGCAGGCCCTATGTAGCAACAGTAAAGTAATACTTGATTCAAACATCTTTCACGCGTGAAAAAAAAAATTTCCAACAATTTCAGAGTATTTTCAGGTGCTTTAGAGTGTATTCTGATGACCCACGAAGCATTAAGTCTATTGAATTATTTAATTTTGGACAAAAATGTAAGTAATGTGTAAGAAAATAGTAGTTTTCCTACGAGTTTGAAAAGTCTTTGTTTGCGAACCGAGAGGTCCGTAACGAGGTTCGTAAAGGAGACTTTTCGAACGAGTATCGGAAAACTGCTTTTTTGCCCGAGAAAGTACCAGCCTCCCAAAACCACCCGAGGGAGGAAAAATTATTTTTTCGAGTTTTAACGATGTTTTGGTATGAAAAATAGTATTTACAATAATTCTGAAGTATTTTAAGGTGTTATAAAGTGTATTTAACCATTAAATTTGGAAGCTATGTTACAAAATAAGAAAAATGTGAAAAAAGGGTTATTAGGAAAAATTATTTTTTCGAGTTTTAACGATGTTTTGGTATGAAAAATAGTATTTACAATAATTCTGAAGTATTTTAAGGTGTTATAAAGTGTATTTAACCATTAAATTTGGAAGCTATGTTACAAAATAAGAAAAATGTGAAAAAAGGGTTATTAGCCGATTTTAATTATATTTTAATCTGAGAACAGTACCTACGAATGAAAAATAGGATCTATTATGATCACAGAATATTTTGAATATTAGAATCTACTGAACTATCAAATTAGAGTGATACAAAAATATGAGAAAAATGAAAAAAAAAAACCGTTTTTCTTCAATTTTTGACCATGTTTTAGTTAGAAAACAGATTGAATACTAGTGGGATCGTAATGTACTCAAGAAAATACATAAAAAATAGTTAATTGCAACCTAGCCTAATGAAGTTAATGTAACTTAGAATATAATTTAAAAATTCAAATACTTCTCCGTCCAAATTAAATCCAAAAAATCTAAAAAATTGAGGGTATTTACTAGTAAGAACTAAAACATCCATTAATTTTTTTCAGATACTTTTTTTTTAATAAAGCAGTTAAGCGGGAGTGGTTAGAGAGAAAAAAAAAGTTTTCTGATATATCAATACTCTACTATCACTTAGAGAGTTAAAATTTTGGCTAAAATACTTCTGTAGTATGTACTTCTAAGTGGTTCATTCAAAATAAAGATCCAGGCTGGGGCAGATTTTACCATCTGAACCCACTGTAGCCTTTATACCATAGTAGTTGTGGTAATAAGTTATTGCAGAACAGATTCACCAATATAGGCAGTTGAGTTGAATCATATATTTTTTAAATAGCAAATAACAACAAAAAGAGCTTCGATGACTTAGAAGTTATCATGCTAGCCTTTTAGCTAGAGATACTCGAGGAATCGTGAGTTCGAATACTCTCGAAAATTTTCGAGATATTTTTCTCGGGCTTTTTGGATGAGACAAGTACCCAGGATGCCGAAACACCACTTATCTGGTTTTTAAAACTAATAGTTGATTTTTCTGGTGATGCCTGAACCTCTAGGGGCTTCTTTTTTGGAGGAAAGCCAACACGAAGTAGATGGTGTATTAGAAAATATCTTCTCATTAAACTTGATAATAGCTGGGGTGTGCTAAAAACTATCGCTGCGCCCTGTTAATAGTACTCAGTAGGATAGATGACCGAGTCATCTGAGGAGAACTTTACAAGGGGCCTGCACGAAAGACTCGCACATTGTGCGGTTAGGTAAAAAAAAGTTAAAAGCAAAAAACATCGCTTGTATGGCAAAAGCCGAAAGAGAGTCCTAGAAATCAAATTATCAATACCAATACAAATTAACAACAAAATATCATGAAATGTACTTATTATGTAGTTTTTAGTTTTGTATTCAGCAGAAATATTATTTGTGATGAAGTTTTTGTCAGCTTTATGATAACACATTGGCGGACAGACGAAAATTATTTCAGAATTTTTTGAAAAG